TTTATGACTTGGAAAGATAGAATGTGTATTAAATGTTTTCGTTGAAATGCTCTTATACCACAACAAGGTTATCCTCTTTTTCCTGGTCTTCACTTTTAAATGAGGATAACAAGCTCCTCACAGATTTGTTCGACTACAAATGAGATGATGTCTATGAAATTACTTGATATAGATTACTCTGGCTCAGTAAATATTAGCTGAGCCTAAACATCAAAGAAAAGCACTTGAGGGGCCGGCTCCGTGGCCGAGTGATTAAGTTCACGCCCTCTGCTGTGGTGGCCCAGGGTTCGCATCCTGGGCACAGATGTGGCGCCGCTTGTCGGGCCACGTTGAGGCAGCATCCCACATCCCACATCCCACAACTGGAGGGACCTGCAACTAAGATATACAACTGTGTACAGGGGGGTTTGGGGAGATAAAGCAGAAAAAAAAAAAAAGAAAAGCACTTGAATGATCGTATAGAGGATAAAAACATTTTTTGGGGGGGTACTTTTTAAAAGAGTACCAATCTTCACTTTTGCTTAGAGTTTCTTTCTCTTCTAATGTTAGCGAGTATGGCCTATATTTTGAACCAAAAAACTAGAATACTGTTTAGGGGGAAGTCCTGGCATTGGCTTCTGAAAGCTGTCTGAGTTATTGTTCACTTATGGATGCTCTCTGCGGGGAGATGCCGTGCAAGTTGAGCTCGTGGGGATGTTAACCTTCTTTGTCCCCTGCACTCCTTTGTCAGTCTAAACAAATGGAAATAGAATTAGATATTTTCTGTCTTCCAACAACAGACAGGGAACGTGAGAAACGGTGTATAGATCATAGTGTTGGAAAATACGACAGGCTAGATCCCCGGAGAAATAAGGACAAAAGGAGCCTCAGGCACTATGGCAAACTGGAGACCCTGGTGTGGAGCTCGGCCCTCCAGGAGAGGTTCCGTCTCCGTCATTAGTGTGTTCGAGCTCTAGGTTGCATGCTGTTGGGGGGAGTCCAGAGACCCGCCGCCGGCGTGGCTTTCTTACCGTAGCCTCTCCCTGTGGGGGCCAGGTTGGACGAATCAGACTTAGCTCGGGCGCGCAGGTGTCTTCATTCCGGGGAGTGATTCTGCCGAAGCGCATGGTTACTGCGAGTGGAGAGTGGGTAAGGACCTCATAGGCGGACAGTCGAGGACTCTCATGATGGGACGTTTGCATCAATTGACTGAGAATCTTTGCAAATTTACAGATCTGGATGAATACATGTACAGTTTAACGAGGAAACGATAAGGAGGGAATAAGGTAAAACCCTCAACCCCAACCCCTGAGGTAACTGTGTCTAACAGTTAGGTTTGCTTTTTGCAGACCTTTCTCTATATGTCATGAGGATTTAATTTTGAGTGTTTTTTGAATTGGAGTGTGTGCTAAAATTCGAATGTGGATTATTTTATGACTATTTGAAAATGACTGGATTAAATGGAATGGAAATTGGGTGGTATGAAAATTACGTTGTTTGACAGCGAGTTAACGCCCAGTCTCTGTTTAGTGGGGGGGCAGAAAGGAGGTCAGGCTGGATGACTAGGCGAGGCTGAGGATGGGAGGAGGGCTTTGGAAAGAGGAAAAATAGAAGTGGAGGAGTAAACGCGGGACCAGGTTTGAATCCCGGCTCTGACTTTTAGTGACTTCAGTATTCTGGTAAATTACCAGCCTCCCCTAGTGTCGTCATTCATAAAGGGGGATTAATAGTGTTTCACAGGGTTCTTGTGAAGCTTGAGTGAAATAGCGCGCGAAGCATCCGGCCCAGTGCTTGGCGTAGAGGTGCTTCTCTTCCTTCAGTTCCCTGTCTCCAAATGGGGAATTCCCACTACAAAGTTCACGTGTAAAAATTGTTTATAATAGTGCATAGTCAGGTACCCTTGCTTTGTTAAAAGGGACTGTTTATAGCTTGGATCAGAACAAATTTTTGGTTATGTGGAAATATTTCTCCTTGGGATCGAGTCAGCGAGTATTTCTTGGTCATGATGACGATGTGGAAATAGATTTGTTACGTATCACTGGCCGAGTTGGAGCCGAGGTGGGTGAGTTTTACCTGCCTCTGCATTGCCTTTGGAAGGAAGGGGTTCTGTGTAGTTGGCTCTCCACTGTCTTTCCACCACCCTGGCTTAATGGTGTTATGGCACTTTTCCAGTCTAGTAATTTATAGTTACATTAAGCAAAATTCAGTCACATTTTGAACATTAAGTTCTGTGCATTAGTCACCGAATTTAATTCTGATTGGAAACCAAGGTTTCACCAATTAAGGTAGGCATTGTATAAAAACACATTTTCATCCCAGTTCCTAGTTATGAGGTTAGACTCTCAATAAAAATGAGAAAACTACATACTTTAAAAAAAATGTGTGCGCACGCTGCTGGTGGTGGGAAGAGGATAGGGGAGTCATGCAACGCAGCCTTCAGCAGACCTCGGCTGCCTTCCTGCAAACTGGGGTTTCATTCAAAAGACGACTTGCTCTCTCCACCCACTTCCTTTTTATACTAAATCAGTGGAGAAAGGGTAGAAAATTCAGATAAGCAGAAAAAAGAAAATAGAATTGCGATAACCCACTTCTCAGAGAAAACCATTATTAACATTTTCACGTATTTAGTTTCAGATTACTTTTCTCTTTTTATATTACTATGTTTAATTATGTTTAAAACAAAAATGGTATCATCTCAGCCACACTTTTGGTAAATGGCTCTAGTCAATCATCAGTGTATTACGACTATGTTTGATACTGATAAATATATTTCTGCAACTTCTGGTTGTATTTGTTTTCTTCTAATTATAGAAATACTGTATGTTTATTGGAAAAATTCTTAAGGAACACAGAAATGCCTGACAGGAAATAAAAGTTTCAATGTAATTCAAATGTTTATGCAACAGTACTGTTTAATGTCTGCTTAGTATTCCGCTCTATGCAGGGATTCTCATAGTGAGCTGATCCGTAGTGTTTTCCATTTAGCAATGAATTGGAAACAGTCTGTGGTAAACCACACTGCCATGAACAGCTTTGTACATACATCTTGGTACTATCGTCCAATTCTCTCATGAGAATGAATTCCTACAAGGGTGTATGCTGGTTAAAGTGTGTCTGTATGTATGAGCTGAGAGTGAGTGTGACAAGGAGTTTGAAAAGGAGTATAATCCAACATGGATGACCTCTCTTTAGACTGGTACAGATTAGGTATTTTAGTAAACAACCGATTTTTGAATAAATTCACTCGGCATACTCACAAGCTAATGAAAATATTCTTCTTGGCACTTAGCATGATTAAATAAAGTGACTGCAAAGCGCCTTCTGGCATGGTACTGTCACATAGCAGCAGTTATACATTCGTGTATAATGATATCCTTTCATTCATTCCATGGTGATTTATTGAGAGCCTGCTCTCTGCCAGGCTCTGATCAAGGTATCGGGGGTACTGTAGTGAATGAAAAGGCCCGAATGACTTCTCATGGAGCTAACACTCTGATGTGGAGAGGTGGTCATTAAACAAAATAAGTAAGCAAGCTGGTGATCTCGTGCTTTAAAAGAGCATAAGTGCTATGAAGAACAATCAGGTGGGGGGATGGCTGGAGTGCTCATGGGGAGAGAAGGACTGGCGGTCCTAACTAGGATGGGTTAGGAAGGCGGGGATAGTAGAGGTCAGGCAGATCTAGGTCTAAGCCCATCTTTACTACTAATTAGGTGTGTGATTTGAGGAAAGCTGTTTAACTTTTGATCTTCAATTTCCACATGTTAAAAAAAAAAACCAGATAGTAACGAACCTGCTGCACAGGGTTAGATGAGATAACATGAAAGCAGGCAGCATCATGCCTCCCAACAGGAAGAAAGTGTGCTTAGTGCCCAGAAAGGGGGCTGCGGCCCACTGGCACCCGCAGGCCTGGAGAAGGAGGTATGCCCAGGAGAGCGGAGAGTGGAGACGGGGGAGCTCTGTTCCAGAGGAAGCTGCAGGGAAGCTGAGCGCTTGATGTGGGAAGCAGAGAAAGGAAGAAGCGAGTGCTGGGAGTCTCGGCTGTGTGTGCAGGGAAGAAAGGGAAGCATTGGGGTTCTTCCCTTTCTTCCTAAAGAGAAAGTCAAAGACTCCTTTCTTTTGCTTCGTTTTTGACAGGTCTGTCATAAGTTGATTCTGCAGTTCTATTTCAGTGCCTAATCAAGTGTTTTATAGTCTAGTTTTGGGGAAGTAAAACATATATAATGTATGTGTATACAAAGATAAAGTTAAAAATAGTTGCTTAATAGGTTTTCTTTACAGTGCTGGAAGCGTCTGGGAGGAGGAACCGACTGAGCTGGGTGATTGGGGAAAGTTCCCGCAAGAGCAGATGTGATCTAACTCCTGAAAGAGGGGTGGGATTTTGGTCTTTTTTTGGAAGGACACTGATATTTCCCAGAGTCTGTTCCATTGCACCTTAGTCCTGACAGATGCTCTGGGTAGAGAATGTTTTCAGGGTCAGCTGAGTTTGCAAAGCATCATACCTGTCAGCCATGTGGAGGTCACACTGCGTGTTCACTTCTGGAATGTCCTGTCAGCCCTGCAGTAAAGGCACTGGCTGAACTGTGCGCCCGGCAGGACTGGACCCCACACTCCACTTGCAGAACCACCCAGAAAACTCAGGGGAGTGGGTGCTGTGGAAAGTACTGCTGCAAGCTCACTCTTCCTCTCTAAGTTACACTTTAGGGAATAGAGTTGTCACTTGTCCTTGTGTACATATTTGCTAAGCATTTGGAGATCTTAAGCATATTTGCTATAACTCTTTAAGTTAAGCAGAAAAGAATTGCTCAGACAAGCCCAAATAGAAAAATAACTAATGAGGATTACAGTGTTGGATCTCGGTTTTCATCTTTTATTTTTCTTTTCTCTGTTGCTTATTTTGTTTTTGTGAAATGCTGTATAGAATACTTGCATATAATGAAAAAGAATTGTTTTACAAGTTGAAAATGGGAACGTGTTTAAGATTCTCCTATTTTAACAAAGGTGTTTTTTCCCCCCTCCCAAGGTATATTACCCAAATTTGGGATGGATGTGCATTGACGCCACCGATCCAGAGAAGGGGAACTGGCTGCGATATGTGAATTGGGCTTGCTCAGGAGAGGAGCAAAATTTATTTCCTCTGGAAATCAACAGGGCCATTTACTATAAAACTTTAAAGGTAAGAGTGTTACAATTTCTGCTGTTACTCTGCATGCATTTTCGCAAATGCTGTCCTTAGTCGAGACTGACAGTAATGACTTTGTAGACCTGAAAGGATTATATTTGAAAGTAGTTCATCAGTACATTGAAAGGTCTGTGTTTTAAATATCCGATTGCCACTGCTTCGTGTGCGTAAGGGCACTAAAGCGTGAAGATCGTGTTAGGTAATTACATACCGCATCTTTATAGATACTGGGGAGTTGAGCGTGTGGCAGCCACTTCCCTCCTGAGATACAGATGCATTAGGGACTGTCTGACTGGCAGATTCATCCAACTGTAAGGAACTCTCGCTAGCTATGGGGGTTCTGTGTTAACTGAAAACACGTTCTTAGTCTTCAGTGAAATGCAGCTCTGGATTAGCTTTCCTTTTCCCTAAATCTCATTCAGAATGGAAATTAAACAGAACATGTTTCTTTCTTCTGCCAAATTTTTATTTGGAGACATTAATCGTTGAGATGAAAAGGAGAGGAAAGTCATTTTTTGGAGTTTGTGGTGATGTCAGAGGTCACTGAGTACCCTCAGGGAAGTTAGGAAGCATTGAGTGTTGCTGCATTTCTGCAACAAGCAAGCCTGTGTCCGTCTCCCTCGTTTTCTTGTTCTCTCTGAGGCAGATCTACACTGATCATGCATAGAGATGTTCTCCAAGGCGGAGTCCTGAGGCTCTCAAGATAGATGATTGTTGCTTTTTGGAATAGATATATTTACTAAAATTGCTGTAAGGCAAATTTCTCTTTGCTCACTTACTTCATGAAAAATGTCATAGATTGGGGACAGTCCGTGAAAAATATTATCTTCATGGAGTTGAAAACTCTTTATGAGCAAGCATTTAAGATGCTCAGCTTTGCAGCCTCCTGAGTTTTGCCTGTGTGGTAGCACTAGGCCTTCTGGAACTTTAGGCAACATATAGCTGTTTAATATTCCTTTGCTTATTTTTCCTCTCATCTTTAGCCAGTCGGGCTGCCCTTTACCTCATATATACCCACGTCCTTGTTTCCAGTCCCTATAGGAAATATTTTTTGTGGTACTTCTCATTTAAAACTTCTACAACTTTCTTTCTCATTTTCTTTCTGCTGAATTGTAATAGCATGATTTTCTAGTAGATATTACTGTACAATTTTGTTACACTGGAGTTTGAAATTGGATTCAAAATTCGATTCAAGAATTCATTCTCTTTCTCAAATTTATTTAAAGTGAGATTTACGTCTGGTTGAATCAGCGAGGCAGAATCCTGGTGGAGATGAAATACCAGTGAGGGGACGAATATGAGACAATCAAGGAGTATAAATGAGGTCCCAAGGGAGAGCAAGCCCAGGGAGATATTAGGACGCTTTGCAATTCCTTCCTCAGACTTCAGGCTAAGACGTGTTCATCTCTGATAGCAAATCTGAGAAACAGTGAGAAGCAGGAGAGAGTAATGTTGGGGAGAGTGAACTCTGAAGTCAGACTGCTGGACTAAACGCTCGCTTGCTGTGGGACCCAAGGCAAGGCATTGTGGCTTTACCAGCTGTATAACCTTAGGCACGTCACCTTCCTGTGCCTCGGTTTCTATATTTGTAAGATACAGATTGTTCGAGTATTGGCCTCATGGGGTTATCATGACTGATTGTATAGGTGATTACAATAGCTGAATAAGTGACAGCTGTTACTTTTGATGAGGCGGTATAGTGTCGTGCTTAGGAGTGCGAACTGTAGGGCAGACTGCCTTGGAAGCAAATTTTGGCTTCTAGATGTATGACCATGAGAAGTTACTTAGACTCTCTCTGGCTTAGTTTTCTCATCTGTAAAGATGGAGGTAATAGTAAAATTAAAACATACAGTCGTTGGGGAGATTAAACCAGCCAATATGTGTAAGGCTCTGTGAACAGTTCTCAGGCTAACTGAAGTCCTCAGAGTGTTAACTAGCTACCCTGCTCCTGTTGCCTTTGCCTGTCTGTGTGCAGTAGCGTGCTCGGGGTCCTTGCAGGCCTTCCCCAGTCGCTCAAGTCTGCGGAGACCTTCACATTCCTTCCTAGTGATTATCTCACTGTATTCTTTACACTAAGCTTTCTATGGGTTAGGTTTTGTGAACAGATTACATGTGATGTTCTTCTGGGCTCTGTATCGTCTTCCCAACCATCACTGGGATAATTCGGAAATCTCAACATTGGTTTTGTTTGTAACATGCTTAAAAAGTATTTTAAATTCTTGAAAGTTAGCTGTTAGCCTGCTGTCTATTCATTCATCTATTCATTGGTTCAGTGAATGTTTATTGAGTCGCTACTGTGTGCCAGATATTCTTCTATAATAGTGAACAGAACAGACAAGATCTCTGCTCTCGTGGAACTTCCAATGCATGGGGGAGGAGGCAGATAATAAGCAAGTGAATCAGTAAATAAAATAATTTCAGATAGTGATAAGTGCTCTCAAGACGAGAAAATGTGACAGAATGATCAGGTAGGAGGAGTGCTGCCATAGCTCAGGCGGGTCAGGCAAGACAAGACACAGGAGCCCTCTGCTGCGGGAAGGAGCCAGCCGCGCGAAGATCTGTGTGTGTGGGAAGAGTGGCCCAGGAGAGGGGCTCCAGCAGGAGCAAAGGCCTTGAAGTAGGAATGAGCTCGATTTTTGGTTTTTTTAAGGAATAGAACAAAGGCCAGTGTGCCTGGAGCGAGGAGTGGCATGGCAGATGAGGCTGGCGAAGCAGCAAGGCCCAGGTCGGTGGGCCCTAGTGGCTGTAGGAGGGGTGTGACTTCCAGTCTTAGTTCAGTCCAGCCATTTGAGAGTTGAGGCTGTGTGACTTGTGACGTTTAGATCATGCTGGGAAACTGATTGATTGTAGGCGTTGTAGGTGGGTGAGCGTGGACGTGCGTGTTCTCTGATTCTGGAGTATTGCTCTAATTTTAACCTAGTGGCAGGAATATTTATTGGAACTTTGCCTCTTCCTAATTGGTCTGGTAAAATTTCAAGTTTCTATTTACTGATATTTAGAGAAGAGAGTATGCTTGGTTCTATAAGCCTGTCAGAAGCCAAAGGAAAAGTGGGAAGAGTTTAGTCTTTTTGCTGTTATTTTTTTTGTTAAACATCAAAATACAATATGTTAAAAAAGAGGTTGTTTGGACTTTTGACTCTATTTTCTTAAATGTGTGTTTATATTTCCTGTGTTTAAGGACATAATTTTTCTTTTCATCTGAAATTTGACTTAGAAAATCTTGTGTGCTAAGCAGTGCAGAAGAAAAACCAATACAGTACAGAAACAATCACTGATTATAAAAAATATATTATTTTTCTCTTCATAAAGGTCTGTTATTTGTGTAGCTGTTTTAAAATGAAGTTGGGAAGTATATAGCTCAATAATACAATAATCATCTCAGTTGCTGACAATTTTGAGGGTTTTTCAATAGCTCACAAATCAGGTTGCTCTTAATCTAGCTGTTCATCAGCTCATTAGCCAGTTAGAAATTTTATGTTAGATTTGAGGCAAAAACAGATTCTGTTATGTTTTTATATTGTGTGTTTTGCAACAACAAGAGTCCCCTTCTCAGTGAAGAGTTTGTGCCGATATTTAGCTTAATTAAGTTGCTAGTAGATTGCAGTGAGTTCTTGGGAGAAGATCGCAGTGGGACGAACGTGGGGACTTCAGCTCTGAGTCTGGGAGCCACCTTGCAAATGCCCAGCGAGTGTCTTCCAGCCAGTGTTCTGGCTATGCTGTTTGGGGTAAGAATAAATTGGGCATACGTTTTCCTCATGTGTTCTTTTTCATTTTGGTTTTATTTAAAACATTACATATTTCTGTGAACCCTAATCATTTAAAATATTATATGATACCATCATTTCATAAATGTGACTCATAACAAAAAATAGAGAAGCAAACTATACGCTTGGAAGTAGAAATAGTTTACTTAAATAAAAAAGACTGTTCCTTCAGCAGAAACAGATTAGCTCATCAGAGTGCCAAAAGGCATCTGTAAGGTCGTTAACACCTAACAAATTAGGCTGTTTTTTGATATAGGTGTAAATAATTCAGGAATGAAAAAAATAATACGTTAGTTTAAAGATAAGAAAATGCAAGTTCTTAGCCATCTTTGGGGGAGCAAAGGAAGAAGTGGCTTGTTCTTTTAAAGAATTTAGAGTATTTTAAAATTTGGACTATATAAACAGTGAGTTCTGCAGAGAATGAAACAAAATAATATTTACTTTCAAAGGCTTTATCTAGACTAGAAGGTATGTTGAAGTGAGGAGCTCTGTTGTTTCTAAACTGACGTCTTATTTAGAATTCTCCCCACCGCTACAAACAAGGGCATCCTCTCCATAACTGTAGGGCAGTGATCAAAGTCAGGACGCTGACACCAACACGGGATTTTATTAGCTGATCTACGTACCTTATTCAAATTTTGTCACTTGTTGAAGTCATGTAGTTATAGGAAAAGAAAACTTACGTGCCTTTAGTTGTAATGTCTTGTTATCTCCAAAGTTCGGACAGTACCTCAGTCTTTGTCCTTTACAACCTTTCAGTTTTGGAAGAACTGGTCAGTTATTTTGTAGAAGGTCTCACAGCTTGGGCTTCTCTTATGTTTTGTCGCGATTAAATTTCATTCATGCATTTTGGGCAGAAATCTCCAGAAGTGATGCTATGTTCTCTTCTGTGCACTATATCAGGAGGCACATGATGGCAGTTTGTCTCATTATAAAGATTCTGTTTTTCCCTTTGTAACTAGTAAATGTTTTATGGGGAATTATTTTGAGATCATGCAAATATTCTGTTTCTCCTCGAACTTTAACCTACGAGTTTTAGCATCATAGATGATTCTTGCCTGAATCAGTTACTCCTGTGATGATTGCTACGGGGTGATTTTCTAATCCCATTATTTCCTTTTCATTGATTAGTTGGGATCTACATTAAGCAAGAGCTTTCCTTCTTATTTATTTACTTGTTGGTTCCTTCGTTCATTTGTATTAGTATGGACTCATGGATTCTTATTTTATTCAGTGGGTTTTAGGTGGAATTTTACTTGTGTTGATACTTTTGGTACTTTTTGAATAGATGTGTCATTGTGATAGAAACCAACAAGCTAGTTCCTTAAATTCTATTCGGGAGTCTAATCTTTGCTCTCGGTGTATTTTTTCTTCAGGATCTTGTTCTAGGTGTAATCAGTGATGGTAATGTATATGCCCTCACTACTCACATGGCCAAGAATGAATGTCTTAGGAGTATAATTCATGTGAGGTACTTTTAGGCATTTCCTTCAAAATGTAAAAGTTGTCATGTAAACTCGATGTCTGGTATAGAGGGCAAGGCAGCAGACGCTCCCCGGATCGAGCGGGTTGGTGGCGGTGCGTAGACGCTAACACCGCCCGGACGCGTGTGTCCCCCGCACCGCCTCTCCTTCAGCTTTTCCATGATGCAGTGAGCGGCGCATTTATAAACGTGCAGTGCCATATCCTTCTGCCTCATCTTGCTTAACTTGCTCTTGAAATCCGAAACCTGGGCTGGTGATTAGCTTTCAGCCCTTCTCTTTCCAGACCACCTGGTTCTTTTTAATTATACTTTAAATTTCTCATCAGCTTAGATTTCGTGGGCAAAATAGTTCCGTGTTTTATTTTTCCTTCTGCGTGGGTAGCCGTGAGCTTTGAACAGTAAGACTCAGCAGCATGTGGCAGTTCTGAGTTTAAAGCGATCGCTCCTAGTCCCATCCGTCCTTCGGCCGTGCGGCCCCCGTGGAGGCGGCGGGCCGAGCAGTGCGGTCCTCCCTCCAGCAGAGGGGCCCTCCCGCGGCCGCCAGCCCGTGGCGGCGCCGAGGCTTGAGGAGCCCTTCCTGCCGGGCTGGCCGCGGCGCGCCGCCCCCGCCCCGCCCCGCCCCCGCCAACAAACGCCGCTCTGATTGGCCCGGCGCCTGTCTCTTCTCTCCCCGCAGCCAATCGCGCCGGGCGAGGAGCTCCTGGTCTGGTACAATGGGGAAGACAACCCCGAGATAGCAGCTGCGATTGAGGAAGAGCGAGCCAGCGCCCGGAGCAAGCGGAGCTCCCCGAAAAGCAGGAAAGGTAGGCGCCCGGCGCCCCGCCGCCGCCCGGCCGCGCCGGATCCGGGCTCGGGCGGCGCCCGCGGCTCTCCGTGACCTTTTCCGGCCGCGGCTGCCGGCCCCGCTCCAGCCCGCGCTCCCTGCCCCCCCGGCCGCTGCTGAATCACGGCCCCGCCGGACGGACGCCGCGCTCGGGCGCTTTCCTAACTTGGGGCCGCGGAGAGGCGAGCTGCCCGGGCGCCGGGCCGGCCGGGGGCTGGTTGTCACTGCGCTCGCGGACGTCAGAAGCAGCCAGACCTGGGTGGGAGCAGCGGCGGGCTCTCCAGAGCCGTACGCGCCCGGTATATTCTTAGCTTTTTGTGCCGTTCGCCAGCGAACGCGTCATGAAACGTGTTCCCGGAGTGACATTTCCAGGTCCGCAGATTCGGCGGCCTCGTCCGCCCCGACTGTGCGCGAAGGGCCAGGCGCTGCAGCGGGGAGCTCGCCTCCCGGGCCAGCGCAGCTCTGCTCCGCGCCGCCCCGCCCCGCCCGGGCCCGGCCGCTGGCCCCCGCGCCCGCCGGGAGCGCCCGGCACTGCCACGCCGCCCCGCCCGGCCCTGCGCGGCCGCTCCGGGCCACCCCGGCCTCCGCCCCGCTCCACGCGCGGCCGGGCCTGCTGCGCGCGATTGCAACACTCCTGCGCTGCGGGGTGGGCGAAGGTCTTAGCGCGACGCCTCTTCCCGAAATTAGGACAGCACAAGATGGAAGTTGAAGGGTGTGCTGTTTTGTTACTTTTGACTCAACTCCAGTAGTTTTATGATGTTTTTAAACATAAGGTAAAGCGTAGTCACATTCACGAAAGGGTGGGGATCATTTCTGGGTAGGAAAATAGTTTGGTTGGATATATCGTATTTCCAGCTGGCATCTTGACACGTTGTTGGGATTTTTTATTTTTAATCAAGAATTTTAACGTGAGTTGTGACTCATTCATAAAGCCGGGTTTGAGTATATGCCAAGGCACGGTATAGTAGTTTCTCAGTAATATAAACCTTTTTTTTGTTTGTTTTTTGCCTACCAGAGTAAATTTTTGTAGTCATCTGAACTATTGAGTCTGTCCTTTACTCAGAACATTGCAGAGTGAGTTGTGGAAGTCATACTGTAAATAAAATCATAACTTAAACTTGATTTTGGAAAAAGTAAAAATAGTATTTAAAAATGTACACAAGAAGTCTGTTCTGATTTTTCCATTACATATTTTGTGTATTTCACAGCATAAATGCAAATACAACTAACTCATCCAAGGGACAGTTTGTGGGCATTTTACCAAATACATGTTCTCTATTTATTGAACATGATTTCGTTGCTGTTGTAGGCCATGAAATGCTTTGATCCTGAATATCAGATGATCAGGGTCTAGAAAATTCCCAGGTCTTTTTTTTTCACTGTTTGAGTATTGAGATTTTGTTGATATTAGGCTTCGTGCATAATTGTTTGTAAACTCTTGACATAATTCAACTTGTTCCTTTATTGAGTGTTCATTTTGTTAATAACTGATGTCACCAGCCTTTCCAGGTAAGTTGTGATTTGCAGGTGGCAGGGAGTTTAGGGGGAAAGGGAAATCTTTATTCTGCCAGTAAGCATAACTAGCTCATATATTTAGATATATTCATAGCTTAATAACAGCTTCACTTTCAGGCCTTTCTCTCTTTGGCATACTTTGTGTGCGTGTTTAGAACATTTCATTACATTTTGCTTTGCTTTTTTATTTATCCCTTAATTTTCTTTCTATTCATTTAGTTGGATATGGAGAAAGAAACTGAAAATAGACTTTTTGTTTTGCTAGTGATACATGAGCTTACACATCTTCATTTTTATACCTGTCTAGATGGCTGGGTTTTTATACTGAGTGAAGTAGTTCATATTTCTTATTACGTATTATTGTTTTTATAACTACTCTGGGCAGCATATAACCCACTGAATCTTAGGTTTTAATGAAAATACTTGCATGAAGCTCCCTCTTGGAACTTAGTCTGTTTTGAACAGCGTATTGTTAAAGAGCCCTGTTTGCTCTTTATGACTTAAAGTTTGGAGAGTTTAAATAATGAGTCCAACCTTTTTTGTCTTTAAATTACTCTGTGAAAGCTAATTTATAGCTTGCAAAGACTTGAAACGGAGAACTTTTTATATTCACTTGGTTCTGTTTAGGTTTTGTGTGTGACCTCAGACATTTAAATATCCTTTCGGCAGTGGTGTCAGAGTAAATCAATGTGAATTTCATTCAGTAGCAATGTTACGTAGTATTTCTGAGAGCCAGCTGTGGAAGACATGCTCTGACAGGTAGATTGACGGTGGTCCTGAGTTCATCTCGGTCATGAGGCAGGCAGAGAGAAACAAAGGGCTGAATTCTTCCGAGTTCTGGGCCTCGGCTCCCTTGCGTGACAGCTGCTGTGCCTACAGCTGTGCATTGCATGTGGTGCCTTTCAGAATTCATCAGATCGCTGGTGGATCATGAGGCATGTTCTGGGCAGTGAAAAGCCCTGATTCCGTTACATGCAAAGTGGCCCCTTCTCTCTCCCTCTCTGTCTCCCTCTCCGTCTGTCCTTCCTTCATTCACCTAACATTTGTTGAGCCCCTGTGGAGTGCCAGGTGCTCTGCTAGGTTGTACAGTACAGTGGCGAGCAGAAGAGAAGCTGTAACTCTTCTCGTGGCGCCTGTAGCCCAGTGGAAGAGACACACATTAAATCACCAAGTTGCTGGTCAGCGCCTAGATGGTTGGCATGGAATAGGCCCTCAATAAATATTCACTGATTGGCAAAGACACACTCAAACCTGTAATGAAGAAAAAGAAGACTGAGCTGTGCGAACACAGTTCATATTGTCTCTGACCAGAAAGTGTACAGTTTTGCCGTGGGCCAGAGATGTACACATATTAGGCATCTTGAACTAGAATTTTGGATTCTCAGCCTTGTAATCCAGCCTAAATTCTTGCCTGTCTGAGCAGCCCCTGTAATGAAATTGAACATGAGAAGGTTCTTGGCTGGGACAGATTAAACTTTTCATGTGGAGAGGAAGGGGGCGTCTTTAGTGTCCGGTATTTCAGGTTATTTTAATTTGAACCATAGGAGATTATAATCTGTAAAGTAACATAGAAAGGTCAAATTTAGAAGTATCTAAAGTCATCCTCTTGATTTCTGTCCCTTGTTTCTTACTGTGAGAAATCAGAGATTGAATTTGCTCATTAGTGATAAACTAGGAGTGTTGGCAAATGCTCTTTTAAAATAAAGAATAGCAGAGCATGTTGTTGCCTTGCTCTCTCTTGGCTCCCACAGCCTTACCTGAAGTCCTTTCACCCCAAAGAAGCAACGGTGGCTTTATAGAAATGGGCTTAGTGGAAGGAATGAAAAACGCGGCACCCCTGGGTTTTCACCAGGTATGTGACTAGGCAAATCCTGTCACTTTTCTGGGGCACAGTTTCCATAGCTTTAAAACTGGTGTCATGACGTGGAGTGGTCTTTGTGCTACCTAACCTCTCATGGTCGCTGTCAAGAGCCAGAGAGATGATAAAAAGGAACAGCTCTGTGCAGCATGTGGGTCCGTAGTCACTGTAAGTGCCACTGACAGAGCGACAGAACGTGGAGACAGTTGCTTATGTGTTTCTTGCAAAGGAACTACTGATTTGTGAGTCATTTAATCAGTCAGTGTTTATGGAGCCCCTGTGTCACCTCAAAATGAGCAGTGGGTCTGTCCCTGCTGCTTCCCATGGCAGAGCCTCACTCTGCCGATTCACCCCAGTTCTGACCTATTGGCTTTCCTGTTCGCAGCAGATTAGAAAGAGAGGAGTTAATTATCGCAGCAGGTGGTTTGACAGCTGATGGCTGGATGGTGAAGGTGACAAGGTTTCTCACAAACCAGTACTAACCTATGAAGAGCACAGTTCCTGAGGGCCACTGAATAGGTTCGCATAATCCCTTAGAGAAACTGTAAGTAGTCCCTGAGAATATCAGCTAGTTTATAGTCTTTATCTAGATGACTTTTAGTCACCACAGACTGGTTAAATTGTAATCACCTTAGAAAGGGGCTATTTCATTTGTCTCTACAATCCACTTCGTTCAAATAAAAAACCTTGGTACTGTGAAGAACACTCAAGTTTTTTGAAGTTACGCATATTTGAAATTCTTTCTTTTCCAAAGGTGGCAAAGCCTGTAGAAATTTCTAGTCAATTTAGGGAGGTAAGAGAGCCACATGCAAATTCATTCACTTGGAGGCAGTTTAAAAAGAAATTGGGCCGGCTCAGTGGTGCAGCGGTTAAGTTCTCATGTTCCGCTTCTTGGCAGCCTGGGGTTTGCCGGTTCGGATCCCGGGTGAGGACATGTCACGGCTTGGCAAGCCATGCTGTGGTAGGCGTCCCATATATAAAGTAGAGGAAGATGGGCACGGCTCTTAGCTCAGGGCCAGTCTTCCTCAGCAAAAAGAGGAGGATTGGCAGCAGATGTTAGCTCAGGGCTGATCTTTCTCAAAAAAAAAAGAAAGTGCTAAACTAATGGTTTAGACAGTGAGGACTGTTGACCTTTAGAGAAGGGAAGGGACTCTGGCCTGGGCTGGCTGGGGGTCTTTATTTAGGAAGGGGGCGGGGTGGGGGCATTTCAGAATGTAGAGAGGAGCAGCGGGGGCATGCAGAGGAGCCTTAGGTCCCTGCCACCTTCCTTCGCGCTGTTATTTAACAAGTATTTTCTGGGTCTGTGTCAGACACTATTCTAGGTGTGAAGTTAGAGCAGAGAACTAAAATGACCACGGACATTCTGGAGAGTGAGGGGACAACTGGCCAACAGATGAACAGGGCAAGTCTTGTGATGTTAGTGAAGTGTGTGTGTGGAGTCGGGGGAGAGGTAGCTGGGGATGGTCTTTAGGAGGCTGTGACATGAATGGCACAGGGGTGGGCCCGGTCCAGTTCTAGGGGCTAAGAGCTCCGGGAAGAGGGACTGCATGGGGTGTTCTGTTAGTGATTAGGGAAGTGTATTGCTGGGGTAGGGGCATGGCAAGGGC